ATCATTATCATTATCATTATCATTATTATTTCAGCAAATGCTTCAATAGACGGGTTTATCTTTCTTCCACAATGTCACGTTCTACTTCCAGAAAAATCAAGGGCAGTCTCTCTCTTTAATCCAAGCAGCTTAAAAAAAAATTATATTTGTGTCAATATGCGTATGCTCAATTTCACATCGGGCGAGAGGTCTCCTTAAGGGGTTCGCTCTGGTGCTAGCGAGGGAAAGCAGGAAGATTCATTTCGGTGTAAACGTGAATGTCACTGCTCTTGATGCCTATCTGCGGAATGTGGACTGGAACCTGGGAAGGCTATTTGAAGCAGGAAACACAGCTGTGAATTTTGGAAGACCTTCGCTTAGTGTTTGTGTAACGGTGACCTCGGCTGTTTTTGCAAGGATCTTCTCCAGAAGAAGAGGCCAAACCCAGTTACCCATGGGGCATGTCCCTGGGACAACAGAGTTGAGAACTAAGCTGAGCTAACTAGGACTTGGCCAGCTCACAAGTCACATTCTTTCCAGACACGGCTTCTGATTAATATCTGACTAAGCTTGGCAGCCTTCTTTGGAATTTCAACATGCTCGAAATTTCTCTGACCTCTGAGCAATTAAGCCTGTTGTGTGGATTACCTAACAATTTTGGGCAGGCAATGCAATAAGAAGTTTAACTCACATTTCCAATCCTCCCCTCCCCACCTCCCCCAGCTGATCCCGGCTGAGTGGAGGGAAATAAAATATATTGACCTCTGAATTGATGACGTAGAATTAAGGAGAAACTTTCTGACAATAAGAACAATTAACCAGCGGAACAGCTTGCCACGATGTAAAATACATGGGAAAATCCCATTGGGGGAAAATTCCACTTAGGGTTAGGTCACCGTGAACTCATAGAGCAAAATGGACATCGCCAACAAATCTGGAGTTCTTGGGTATGGTTAGGAGGGCACTGACTTTTCTAGGCTGCCCTATCTATGTTTCTTGGTAAAATACATGGGAGAATCCCATTGGAGGGAAATTCCACTTAGGGTTAGGGTTAGGTTACCATGAACTCATAGAGCAAAATGGACATTGCCAACAAACTCGGAGTGCTTGGGTGTGGTTAGGAGGGCACTGACTTTTCTAGCCTGCCCTCTCTATCTTTCCTGGTAAAATACATGGGAAAATCCCATTGGAGGAAAATTCCACTTAGGGTTAGGGTTAGGTCAGCATGAACTCGGAGAGCAAAATGGACATCGCCAACAAACTCGGAGTGCTTGGGTATGGTTAAGAGGGCACTGACTTTTCTAGCCTGCCCTATCTATGTTTCTTGGTAAAATACATGGGAGAATCCCATTGGAGGGAAATTCCACTTAGGGTTAGGTCAGCATGAATTCGGACAGCAAAATGGACATCGCCAACAAATTCGGAGTTCTTGGGCATGGTTAGGAGGGCACTGACTTTTCTAGGCTGCCCTATCTGTGTTTCCTGGTAAAATACATGGGAAAATCCCATTGAAGGAAAATTCCACTTAGGGTTAGGTCAGGATGAACTCGGAGAGCAAAATGGACATCGCCAACAAACTCGGAGTGCTTGGGTGTGGTTAGGAGGGCACTGACTTTTATAGCCTGCCCTATCTATGTTTCCTGGTAAAATACATGGGAAAATCCCATTGGAGGGAAATTCCACTTAGGGTTAGGGTTAGGTCACCATGAACTCATAGAGCAAAATGGACATCACCAACAAACTCGGAGTGCTTGGGTATGGTTGGGAGGGCACTGACATTTCTAGGCTGCCCTATCTATGTTTCCTGGCAAAATACATGGGAAAATCCCATTGGAGGAAAATTCCACTTATGCTCTTACTGCACTGGCCTACCTTAACATGTGTAGACCACATGATTCCTAAGAAGTCTAGCCTGAAAAAAAAAGTAGGAGGATTATCTGCATTAATAGACGGATAGAATCAAGATCACGTGAAGTATTAGTACCGCTTTATAAATCCTTAGTAAGGCCACACCTGGAATCCTGCATCCAGTTCTGGTCACTCCAATATAAAAAAGATGTTGTGACTCTAGAAAGAGTGTAGAGAAGAGCAACAAAAATTATTAGGGAGCTGGAGGCTAAAACATACAAAGAACGGTTACAGGAATTGGGCATGTCTAGTCAAATGAAAAGAAGGACTAGGGGGGACATGATAGCAGTCTTCCAATATTTGAGGGGCTCCTACAAAGACAAGACAATTTTCCAAAGCACCAGAAGGCCAGAGAAGAAACAACGGATGGAAACTAATCGAGGAGAGAAGCAACCTGGAATTAAGGAGAAACTTCCTAACAATGAGGACAGTTAACCTGTGGAACAGCTGGCCACCAGAAGTGGTGGTTGCTCCATCACTGGAGGCTTTCAAAAAGAGACTGGAATGATATAAGGTCTCTTCCTGCTCAAGAGGGGGTTGGACTAGATGACCTCCAAGCTCCCTTCCAACTCTGTTATTCTACGTTCTAGCCGCAGGTACACAAAGTTTATCTCTGCAAGCAACAGAAATATATTCCCACTTTCAAACTGGCAAGATAGCAAGAGAGAAAAGTAAAAGCTGGCTATCTTAGAGTTTATGGGCCTTTTTGGCGTAGCTTAAAAGACTTTGGCTGCTGCAGAAAATAGAAAATGGGGTCTGTGGTGAGCCATTGTTTCTTTCCCCTCCCACAAAATACTGTTTAAAAAGCTTCCCACCTTTTTTTAAAAACAACAACAACAGTATTCACTCTAATGGGTTGGCAGAGTTGCAAGCATAATTTAAACCCTGGGAGACTAATGAAGTTTTAGCGGGATGTGTTAATTATTTTTCCTCTTCTCTCAAGGTCCTAAATCCTGTTTACAGCTTGAAACTTCAAGCAGAGGGAACATCTTCCCGTCTCATGCGGCTTTCACAGGCCTTGCAGTGTTGATGTAACACACACACACACACACACACAACACACAAACACACACACCCCTGGGGCGGGCTTCTTAAAGATGCAGGGTGTGAAGATTTTTGAACTGAGAAACTGAGAACTTCGATTGTTTAAACTAATCCGGTTCGACTTCAGAGAAAGCGTTGGGTGATCCATTGTTTTGACAGGGAATCAAATAAGATTATGGGGCTTCCTGGATCCAGATCTCCCAGGGCGTGAGAACTACATCCATCTCCTTTCGTGAAATAAAATCTAGCTAAGGATTAAAGGCAACGTTGATTATAATACAGGTCGTGACTTACGACCCCAGTTGAGCTCCAGAATTGATGCTGCTCAGTGAGACATCGGTTAAGTGAGTCTTGCTCCGTTGTACGACCGTCCTTGCCACGGTTGTTCAGTGAATCACTGCAGTTGTTGAGCTAGTAAAACGGTTGTCTGGCTTCCCCCATTTTCTGTCGCAAAAGGGGATCGCTGCAAGCGTCATAAATATGAGTCAGTTGCCAAGCGTCTGAATTTTGATTAAGTGGCCATGGGGATGCTGCCACGGTCCATAAGTGTGAAAAAACGGTCATAAGTCACTTTTTTCCAGTGCTATTGTAACTTCAAACGATTACCAAACAAACCGCTGTAAATCGAGGATTACGTGTACTCATTTTCAGGCATCTCCTGCCAAAAATAGAAAGGCTAGCTACCTAATCAAGGATCCTTGGAAGGAAGCATCTGCCTGTGACAGGCAGTTTTAGAGAGAGGCCCTATTTGTCTCTTTCTTTAGGTACCAGTGGTGAAACGATGCTCAGCGGCTTACAGAATAAGATTAACATCAGCTGACCCAGAACTACAGGTTGTTGTTGGCTCTGCTCAACGTTAAACCTTCTTTCCTAAGCAGCCGGCCTCCATTTTATTTCCAGGGTCTTACTCCCAGCTTGGAATGGGACCTGATTTTTCTTGCAACACAAACATTATCAGTAACCTCTGTGCTAGGCATTTATAGTGGAAGTTAATGGGTGGGTTAGAACTGGAAAACTGCTTTATAGTGAGATGGGCTGCATATAGTATA